GTTGACGCATAACGGATTCTTGACTGCTCTACCGTAGTTCCTAGATGTATGCTAATATGTATTGTTGCCTCGCAGCTCAGCCTTGCTCGACAAAGTCAAGAACCGCATCTCGAGCCTGAAGTTGGGCTTAGACTCAGCCTCAGATGCACATATCACACTGCACCTCAACGCTCCCGACGGACCTATCCTGGATACTGAGGACCTACTCTCCGACGCCTTGCCTGATGCCGAGGAGAAAGTGTTCGCCGTCATCAACGACGGATCTTCAGCGGGAGATGTAAGCGTCATTACTTGTCCCCTTATACCTAGCTCGCTAACCCTCCGTAGTCTCAATCTCGACGGGACACCCATGGGCCTGGGCCCTCTCAGCAAGCTATTGGAAGACGGCTTCGTGTACGAGTGATTACGCCCGAATTGGGTCGCTCGCAGGATGTCAGCGCAATTCCTCTCTTGCCGGAAGCTGCTGTAACCTTCAAGAGCACCCTGAAGGACCTCAAGACACAAGTGCAACAGCACCTTGGTCTTGGCGCTGGCGATGAAGAGAGATATGAAGGCTGCCATTGCAACTGCAGTTTCGCCCGACAAATTGATTCAAACGCCTCCCTGAATGAGCTCGGAGCTGGCGATTTGGATGCTTTGCACACATTGCTTGTGGTCTACGACAATAATAGGGTCGCTCGGCTCTCGATCGATGAGCCTACCAAGGCGCACCTACAGTTGACGGTGAGGCAGCACCTTGTGGACCGGTTGAGCGAGCATATGTCTATGATTGGCGGGCTCCCGGATCCAGGTACCAGTAGCAACCCGCGCTACTTGAAGCTGCCAATCCTTGCTTTCTGTTCTCCGGAGCGGCATGAGCGTCCCTCTGTCGATACGGGCCTGCAGCCTTCCAGCCCTCATAATACGGTTCTCGATTTACACACCTCTGAGGCACCCATCCATGTGACGGCTCATAACTTTGGGCTTACTCTAGCCGCTGCCGGCTTAGAAGACTGCACTATCGACGGAGTCTTGAATATCTATGCCGTCAAACGAGTGCGTCGCCAGATGAGCTTCAGCGCAGGATCAGGATCAGGCAAAGATGCTATCTATCAGCAAGGCCCAGCCTGGGAGCTCCCTCTAGGCCAGTCCGAGAGGGGTCTAGCTAATTTTCTCTCCTCCCTGCGGGCCTTTGCGGGGCTCACCAATGCCCGTCACATGGCGGCTGCAGAGCAAGATGCCGTTCTCCATGTCCTCATGTTGTTGACGAAATTTCCGCCAGCTGTTCGAGCAATACACGTGCTCATACGTGGGGAGACACCTGATCCTTCAGAGCGTGCTGCTATTGTACAGTGCTTCAACGAAGTCCTGAAGACGATAATTTCCCCTCCCGTCATCAAATCCGACCACACGCGTTTTCTCGAAGGCTCCCGCCTTCTCTTCGGACTTATTCTAGAGAAGGCGAAGCATCTGAAGGTCTCCATGCACGATCAAGAAGGCAAATTACCTTACATAGATTCAATCAAGGTGCATGATCTTCGAAACTGGATTACCATGGAGCCGGTAGTTACACCACTCCAGACCGCATCCGGCCTAGTCGATCGTGGCTTCTATGAGGCTTTCAACGAGGGAGGCCTCCTCAAGTGGACGAATGACAACAATACGAGTCAAGCCAAGACCTTCGATCGGAAGCTCAATCGCGCTTGTTTACTATCAGGTGGCGTAAAGCCGCAGGTTCTGGGCTTTGACATTGACTCCGTCAATTCCAGTCATCGCTACGCCGACAAAGGAGATGTCTCCAAGGTTATTGCTGCTGCTGAATACTCTGACCTCCAATACCTGGCAGGCCTTTGTAGCCGAAACAAGCTCGGCGTCATCCATCCGTCTGCACTTCCGTCTGCGGATCCACCGGTCCTTACTCTTGACCGCGTGGGCCTCCTCGCTGTATACGTGGGCCGGCAGGCTTGCGGGGAGGCTGGACGAGATATCAACATGTTCCGCCCCACGAGCAACGTCGTCGAGGAAGCGGTCGACGTATCGATTATCACACAGCTGTTAATCCCCATTATTGAGCGTCGAACGGCAGACGGAACGGCAGTCTTCGAAGCGTTTGGCGACCAGAACCGACAGCTCAAGAACCCAGATGAGGTAGTTATCCTATGCGTAGATGCAAGCGCCAGCATGAATGACCGTTGCGGCTTTATGGACGTCGAGGAAAGTGAGGATGCGGTGGATGACCTGGAGAAGAGCATGGCCAATGACGACACTGACTCGGAGGTTGAAGATGCGCAATTCGATCGGCCCGCGCTCGATGAATTGAAGGAGTTCCTCACCTCTCACGAATCGTTCGACGATTTCCTCGCCATTACTCAGACCGGAACTGATGACTACCATCGGCACAAGAACGCGGAGAAGGTCCTGTCTATTCTCCGAGGTCTTGCTCAACAGCAGATTGAAGAGAAGGCCAAGGCTCTCGAGAACGCGCAGCGCCGAGAGACAAGCTACTACTATCGCCAGAAGGCTGCGGGCATAGAACGGGATCTTGCCACGCTTAAGAACCGTTCCCTTCGGCTACAGCAGTACAAGGACGCCTTGGTCGCCTTCCTACTCTATAGAGCAGAGAACCGCGTCTTGGATGATCCTTTAACCTGGTCAATTGGAGAAGACGTCCCACAAATCCCTAAGAAGTCACGCGTTCCCTCAAGCAATACCCCGAAATTCGAAATTCCAGCGGAATTTCTGTGTCCTATCTCCACAGAGCCGATGGAGGATCCGGTGACTACGATTGACAACTTCACGTACGAGCGGAAGAACATCGAGCGATGGTTTCAGACTCATGAGACATCTCCCTGTACAAACCTAGTTCTGGATAGCTTTGATCTGCGGCCAAATTATGCCGTCAAGCAAGCAATCGCTGCTTGGATCAGCGGAGACGACATCACTTCGAAGTATCCGCCAACACGTGGCCACTTCAATGTCTGCTTCAAATTGCCCCTCAGCACGCTGACCACAATTTTGCCATCAGGCATTAGCATGGATGACGTGTACCAGAAGGCGTTCCGGGCAGGCAAGGGACGATATCCATCATTCGTCTTGCATCATCGCAATGCTTTACTGCTCCCGTCTCAAGAAGTTGCGATGCCCTACATCCATAGCACTGATGCGGTCGTCGTTATGCCCATCGAAGCCGGCACAGCCTCAAGTACGAGCGGCGGGCACGAAGATCTCTGTCTAGTCAAAGTCTATCGTGGCTACGAACACGCTGTTCTCTCGTACTGGGAGCCGAAGGCCACGACTAAAACTATGGCCTCGGTGGTCTTCAGACTATATCGCCATGCGTTCCGTGAGAACCCGTGGTCTGCCGTCGGCGATCCCTTCACCATATGGACTAATATTACGTATACAGGCGATAACCATTACCATGGGCACACACAACATCATTGGGAGCTACTTTCGCACTTCTTCAATCGTGAGTATGCGATCGGTCGACTCCTCAACGAGGCTGTGTACGACGGAAAAGACGACGAAGGGGATCATGGCTCTACCAATCCGACCGACTCGCGAGGCCCTCAGCCACTCGTCTTAAGGCTGATGCTGGGGAGCACTCCCGGTAAGGTCAACCACAAGGTCCTAACCCGCTTGGATGTCCTGAAGCAGATGTTCGATGCATATGTCAACCGGCTGCTTGCGTACGGCTTCCAGACTCATGTTGGTCTCATTACGTTCAGATCCGCTGCTTCTCTGACTCAGAACGTAACGCATGCCGTCGAAAACTTCCGCCACCAACTCAACAATATCATCGCCTCAGGTGATACCGCCTTGTGGGATGCCATCATGCTCGGACGCGATACGCTCTTGCAGTATGCCACGAAATATCCCAAAGCCAAATTGCGCATCATCTGTCTCTCGGATGGAGAGGACACGAAGTCAAAGCAGCGAGTTCACGACGTTGCTCTCAGTCTCATTCATGATAGAATTATCGTCGATTCATTCTGCCTAGGCGAGGAGCAGAACATCTCCCTGAAAACTCTATCATACTTGACGGGCGGTTACAAATTCGAGCCAGACCAAATGGAGCACGCCATGGCAATCTGCGAGATGGAGCCTGTCCTCTCTAGCTTGGAACGACCCGACATCGTTCTCCCGAACTTGGCCAAGCGCTTCTACTCCAACCCTCTGCTCCAGTTTGAGCAGGCAAAGACTGAAGTCCGAGTTGACGCGGTGACTAGGGATACGTTCCCGCGACGAAAGGAGCATCCGCTTCTTTCGCAGTCCTTCGTTGAACTGGGCCGCTTCACCCGCGGCTTTAGCATCGCGAACCGAAGCGACAGCAACCTGAGGCTAGCACGCATCCACAACGAGATCCGTAATTCTGGAGCCAAGGTCCACCCGCACTACGACATCTATATCTGCGAGTCGAACTTCAGCTTCTGGAAAGTCGTGATGCAAGGTCGGTTCCCTTCTTTTCCTCGTTTAGCACTTCGTGGAGACCTTCAACATGCTGACACTATGCAGGCCCACCAGGCAGTACTTATGCGGACGGTACATTCTGCCTCTACCTAGAGATGGCCGAGGACTACCCGACTTTCCCACCAAAGGGCCGCTTCATGACCCCAATCTACCACCCGAACATCAACCGCCACGGACGGATTTGTCACTCCATCTTTGACCGAAACTGGACGGTTGATACCACGAACAAGGACGTCATCGACACGGTTTACTCTCTACTACTTGTTCCGGAGTTTAGTGACCCAATCAATACCGTCGTCACGCTCAATTACCATTGGGATGAAGTACAGTAAGTGCGCGCGCTGCACTTAGCTTCGAAGAAATGCGCGCTAACACTTCAAATAGGTTTAAGGAGGAGGCTCAGCGTCACATCCAGAAGCATGCAAGCAAGAACCGGGCTCAGTGGAAGCGCGAGATCGCCGCTGGGTAGGCGTGAATACCCTGCGGCAAGGGCAAACGATATGAAAGACAGGCGTGACGAGTGTGTGAGTTGGCTTAGGCGGTGAGCATAGTCATATGGGGATTTCGTAGCCCAGGAGAAAGCCAGGTCTTGAGTTACAGACCGAGAATCCCTGACTTAATGGTGCACACGTCACGTGACGGATCTGCATACCCAGTATTCCTGAGTTTCTCCTCTCCAACCCCAAGCAATAGACTGGTGCATCGACGTTGCTGTGCCCTGACCGCAATTTTGCGCTATAAATAGCTGCGAATCTAGTCCGGAGCTAATGAACGAGGCTGAGCAGTGCTAGGATCGCACAAAGGAGTAATTGTCCGGATAATCTCGCTCAGTTTTTGTTTAGACATCAGGCGAGCCATCAGCACCTGAGCGAGAATCCAATGGCGATGCTAAATAACCTTAGGCTGTCCGAAGTCCTCGCGAGGATCCTTTGGAGGAGCATGCTGCGAGAGTGGCAGGTCATATAGCGCGCGAATTTCTATGTAATTCATGCGAGGATGCTGGCGACTACCACTTGTTGACATCTACGACCGCTATGCAGCTTGGTTTGGATGTCTTTTGGGTCCTTGTGGTCGTCACGGCGAGCGGGGTTAGTGCTCAGGCGACTGTTACTTCGACGCAGGCTGTCTCGTTGCCGACTGCGCGACCCTCCGATGCGTTTAACGTCCCTGCCGATTTTCCCAGCGTGGGTTTCGAGCTCGCGTTCTTGCCGGGGTATAACAACAATTTCTCGGATAACCTTGTGGCTTCTCTTGCGCAGCGTATGGGTGTGAAGCCTGTGCTGCGGATTGGTGGGACAAGTGGGTATGCACTCTTGCTTCTTCATTTGATCATGAGCGCCAGGAGCTGACGAGTAATAGCGACATCATCAAATACAACCCGAACCAAACGGAAGCTACGCATTGCGTCAAGGAACCCTGCAATTCTGCTGCCGAGTTCATTCTGGGACTGAGCTACTTCAATGCGCTGAAGCAGCGCTTCAAGACCGCGAAGGCTTCCATTCAAGCTCCTTTCGATCCCATTCATGGAACCACGCCGCCAAACCGGACGAATGTAATCGCATACGTGCAGAATGCCTATAACGCTCTCGGGGCCGACCGCGTCGACGCCATCGCCCTTGGAAACGAGGTAAACTGGTACGAGCCTGATGCCGCAAGTTACGTAAAGGATGCGCAAGCCGCCAAAGACACCATCAACTCCGTTTTGAGCATCGGCGACAGCCCGATCTGGGAGGTCCTAGACACGGCATCCGAAGGCATCAAAGGCGAAAATCCTGCTCCCTATACCGTGAAAGACGCATTCGACGCCGGCGTCAACACGGACCAGAAAGTCGAGTATGTCGCGGAGCACTACTACCAGTTCGACGGCAAGACACCGGGGATCCAGAAATATTTGCTCAACCATACAGACTTGAAGGTCAAGATGGGGAAGTACAAGCCAAGTATTGATTACACGACCAATACGGCGAAGGCGAGGTTCATCCTGAGCGAGACGGGGGGGCCGCTAGGAGTGAGCGATGATCGGCAGACGTGGTTTGCAAATACGCTGTGGGCGGTTAATTTTCAGATGTATGCGATGAGTATGGGGGTTAGTAGAGTCAGTCTGGTGCAGAGACCGGAGGCGAAGCGGAGTCTGTGGATTCCGAGTGCCGGCCTGTTGGTGCCGGGACCTAGAGTGCAGGCACCATACTACGCTCTACCGTTCATGGCCGACTTTCTGGGAAAGAGCGTCAGCGGAGAGCGTGGGGTTGTTAACATCGACCTGAACAGCCCGGTTCTCAGCGCGTACACCATGTTTGAGGGACCGACGCTAGCTCGCATTGCCGTCGTCAACCTGCGTGAGTACGATGGTACAGGGAACCGCAGCGCTGTGAAGGTTCGCCTCAACAACCTGGGTACTGTCAGCGGGAACAAGGTTCAGGTGGGGCGCTTGCATGCGGATGCTGGAACTGCGGCCGGCGGATGGGATATGAATCAAAAGAACATCACCTGGGGCGGCCAGCAGTGGAGCTATGAGGCAGACCAAGGGAAGGGGCATGGTGTGGCGACGAAAAAGAATATCCAGGTGACGGATGGGTCGGCGGAGGTGGTGCTCCCGGATAGTGAGGCTATGATTATGTATTTGAAGTAGAGGGAGAGGCTTTACATCTGCATTGGAATGGGGTATTGCTGTAGAATCATCAAGCCCCGGGTAACAGCCAGATCAAGACTGCTGAGAGTGATGAAAAAGCGAAGCGTTGTTCGACCGGGAAAGTCGACGTGAAAAGTCTCTGTCACGTGCCAGTCGGCCTTATCGATAAGGTGGCTAGGATTATTCCAAGTGACCACATCTGCAGAATAACACTACAACCTCCCTTCTTCCTCACCTCGCTCGCGAAGCTCTCTCAATAGCGCCGGTCTTCTTACGCCACACAATGGAGTCACCCGATACATTCACGCTCCTGCCGCTACAAATCGATCCAACCACAAAAGCCATCTCCGCAAATCCCTCGAGCAACGCGCTGAACACGGAACTCGCCGCCCTCAATGCGCTTCACAAAGGCCTCCTCAATGTAGGAACCCCGACTGGTACTCCGCCGCCGCCCGTCCCCGTAAACCCCACGCGCTCTGCACAAATCGGCAAGCTACGCGAATCCGGGAATGCCGAGTTCCGCAAAGGAAACCACAGCCAAGCCGTCAAGTTGTACAGCCTCGCGATCGAAATGGCGCTCGGCCGACCGCACTGGGAGCCGTCAGGGCTGGTACGCGAAGAGGTGTCGGGCTTGCTGAGCAACCGCGCACAGGCGAATATGGCGCAGCAGAACTGGGCGGAGGGCGCGGTGGATGCAGAAGCGAGCGTCGAGATGAAGAAGGTGGGCAATGCAAAGGGCTGGTGGAGGAGAGGGAAGTGTCTGCTGGAGATGGGCAGGCTGGATGAGGCAGAACAGTGGGTCAAGCAGGGGCTGGAGTTCGAGGCTACGGAGCAGGATCTTGTGCAATTGAAGCAAGAGATCGAGAAGAGGAAGGAGGGTGGGAAGTAAACGTAGCTGCGGTAAGAGAGGGGTCGTGGTAGACGGGACTGGGCCGTTTAAACGGCGGGATATCCATCACGAGTGCATTGCAAGGCGTCTCCGGTGCAGAGCATTTTGTTCGATCGTCATGGCATGTTTGGGCGGATGAGAAACTGGAAGGTGCCGGACGATGTCGAATATGTTCGGTGCCAGAGAGAAACCCAGCACTACCGTACAGGATTTCAGCTGTATGTCTCCACCGCCTTCACGTCTCAGTGTTATACCTATATAAAGATACACCACTCCAAACAGTCTACAGGCGCTTCTAGGCTTTTTATCACGACAGCGAAATTTCTTCAGCTTGCCCACTTATTTTATTCTTCATCAATTTTTCCAAAATGTCTCTCCGCGCATCTTCTCTATTCTAAAGTACGCGAGACAGATAGAAAGAAGCTTTATTCTTTTGTAGAAGTAAAAGATTAATCTTCTACTTCTAGAGAATATTTAGTATATATACTTAGAGCGGTATACTAGCATCTAACGTACTTTATAAACGAAAGCCTTACATAAACAAACGCTCTAAAAATACTAAAAAAGAAAATTAACAAGTATTTCTTAAATAACTAACGTACTTCACAAGCGAGCTAGCTACACAAGCGAGCTGGCTACTATCTCTTAGCAAGGAAAATTAATAAGAATTTACGAGTTTTTCTTAAATAACTAAGCGAAACCTTAATATTTTTCTATAAAATTTTAAATATAGATAGAACTATACTATATACACCTACTATTAAAATTACACTAAGATATATTACGTAATTAAAAAGCTATACGTATTTAACTAATTTTTAAAAAAAACTCTAGTTTACTTCTAGTAAGTACTAGTAAACCTCTATAATAATCTATAAAACTTATAGAATATAATATTTATAAGTTAGTAAAGATTTCTAGAAAACTTCTATAGAGCAAGCTCTTCTAGATATAGCGTAATAAGAGATAGAAGTTAGAAAACTATCTTTTTAGAGTTTTCTTCTTTAACTATATATATATATTAATAATTATCGTAGAGCCTAAGCTACGCACCGTACGAGGATAACTTATCTTGTGCTTCGAGATTACTATATAGAGAGAGCCGAGCTCTCTAGTTCTAATATAGTAATCTTCTTTCTTATTTTTCTTACCTAACTAAGTAACTTCTACTAAGCTCTCTCTATTTCTCTATAATAATCTAGCTATATAAAGTTATAAATTATAAGTTTATATATATTATAATCTTTCTATATATTTAGAAGTAATAATTTTAAGATAGTTTTAGTATATTTCTCTCTTTCTATACTATACTACTAAAAAGGCTTTACTTTTAAATAACTACTTAAAGCTAGTATATTATTAGTTAATAAGCTCTATATAGTTAAAATCTACTATAATTTATAGAATAATAAGTTTATATAGCTAGATTAGCTATATATATATATAGTTAGAAGAAAAAACTCTAAAGAAGATATTTTTCTAACTTCTATCTCTTATTTTACTATACCTAGAAGAGCTAACTCTATAAAAGTTTTCTAGAAATCTTTATTACGCTATAAATATTATATACTATAAGTTTTATAGATTATTATAGAGATATAATAGTACTTACTAGAAGTAAACTAGATTTTTCTTAAAAGTTAGTTAAATACGTATAGCTTTTTAATTATATAATATATCTTAGTGCAACTTTAGTATAAGGTGTAATATACTATAAAGAATATATATATAAATTTTTATAGAAAAATATTAAGGTTTCGCTTAGTTATTTAAGAAAAACCTAGTAATTTTTGTTAATTTTCCATGCTAAAAAATCGTAGAGAGTTTAGTAGTATAGAGCGTTTAATAGTAAAGTACGTTAGTGTACTAGCTAGTATCTAAATTTAATTTTATATACTATTAGTTCTATAGTTTTATATACTATTAGTTTTTATAGTTTTATATACTATTAGTTCTATAGTTTTATATAGTAATATAGCTTATATCTAGTTTATATAGAGTAGAAGAGCTAACTAATTATTCTAGTAGTAGTAAATAAAGAGACGTAGACGCTAATCTAGATATTAATTAATAATCTCTATATTTCTATTAGTTTATATAGTAGAGAGCTTCTACTTAATTTCTATAATTTAATATAATAGACCTAGAAGAACTATATATATACTAGATATATTAATAATATAGCTTTACTATACGTTAAGCTATAATCTTCTTATAGTAGAGTAAAAAGAAGCTCTACTTACTTAGCTAGTCTATAATAACGTATATGTAATTAAATTCTTTCTTATTAGAGAGAAAACTCTTAAAATCTATAGAGACGTTTTACTATACTTTCTTAGAAATAGGTAGAAGCTTTAGAAAACCTAGTATCTTATTATATAATATATAGCTCTAGTAGTAAGTTTTATATACTACTATATATATATTAACGTCTTCTTATATACTAGGCTAGTAATATTAATTTTATAGTAACTAGGTAGTCTTCTAGTACTCTAGATAGATAGTTACTTAAGTAGTATATATAGCACGTATTAAATATACTTATAGATAGTTAATAGTAAAGACTATTAATTAATTCTAATATATTAGTAAGCTAGCTTCTATTTTCTAGATAAAGCCTAATATAGTAGCTTTCTCTTAGGCTAGCTATAGAAATTTGTTTAATTAATTAGTAGTAATAACTTAGTTAATTATAGTATAGAGATTCTCTATAGAAGGTACCTCTATAAAGGTATTAGTAGACGTAATTTTTATAATACTACTTACTAGCCTCTTAGTAGCTAGAGTAGCTAGCTTACCTAAAATTTACTTAATAGTAGAGAGGCTAATTTATTTCTTACTTAGAAAAGCTCTTATATAAGTAGTATAATTCTTCTTCTTTTAGGTTTTAAATTCTTTCTACTTTTATAATAATGCGTTAGCTACTATATTAGCTAAACTAGGTTAATATATAAGCTTAAGGTTATAGTTAGTAATATTATTAGTCTAGTAGATCTATTTTATAGTAAGTTCTTACTTAGTTATAAAGTACTCTAGAGCTTAATAGTTAGTTAATACTATAAATAGTTCTAAATCTTATAGACTAATTAGTTAGCTTTTCTATTCTTATATACTAAAAATAACTACTAGTATTTTTTTATTATAAATATTATAATTTATCTAGATAGTATTTATTATCTTACTAAAGAAAGCTATAGGTTACTAGATACTATTCTCTTAAAGCTATAAAAGTACTCTAGTAACTACGCTATTTAATACGTCTATCTTAACTCTTATTTATTAATAGAGAGAGTAGTAAGCTAGAATATTATTAGCTAGTATAAGATTCTTAATATACTAAAATACTATAAGCTTAGCCTTTCTAAAAGTATACTATACTCTCTATTTTAGTAGCTTAGTAAGTAAATAAATAATTCTACTATAATCTTTTAGAAAGACTTAATAGAAATTATAGAAACCTAGAAATAATTAAAGACTTTTAAGAGTTCTTAGTATAGGCTAATTCTAAATAGTAGTAAACTTCTTAAAGTTTCTCTAGATTCTAGTAGTACTTATAATTAATTCTAGAAACTTAGTACTTCTAATAGTAAATTCTAACTTCTTAATATCTACTTATAATCTAGCTTTTTATAATTAATTAAGTACCTAGACTATATAGGCCTTATACTTAAGAGAGTTCTCTAAATAAATAAAAATATTATTAATATATACTATATAGAAATTATCTAGTAACCTATATAATATCTTATTAATATATTATTAAAAGGTAGTAGAGCTATTATAGAGGCTAAAGAGTAGAATATAATACTTATAGTTACTATATTATATATAAAAAGAAGTTAGATTCTCTATTAACTTATTAAGCTAGATTCTATAGAAAGCCTACTATATATCTAATTTTATAAAGACCTTTACGCGTAATAAGTAGATAAGCGTTTTCTAAATAAGAGAAATAGAATAGACGTCTTTTTTTATAATAGTATTAAGCTTTTAATAGTTAACGTAGAACCTCTATTCTTTTTCTAGCTTTTTAGTAAATAGAACTAGTAATATATATAACGTGTTACTATAAATAATAAAGCTATAATAGAGATAATTCTCTAAGTAGTTACGTATAAGCTATAGGTATTCTAGTAATATACTATAGAGAGAGCTATTAGTTAGCGTATTTTTTACTATAAGCTTAATATTATAATCTACGTCTTCTCTATATAGTAGTAGTAAATTAGAATTCTTTTTAAAAAAATAAGCTATAGTTACGCTAGCGTATTCTAGAAATAGAAGCTTTTAAGTAATTAACTAGTAGAGCTTCTTCTTAGAATTAGTAGTAGAGGTTACCTTCTTATTAGTAATAAGTTAATTAACCTTATAAATACTAAGGTATCTAATTATAATATCTTTTCTATATATATTAATTATAAAGATAGTAGCGCTAACTATATTAACGTTAAGCTCTATTTTTAGGTATATTTTTTATAAAATAAGTAGCTTTTTTAGCTTATAGAGTAACCTAGTAGGTAAGTTAAGATTTTTAAGCTACCTAACGTACTTTACTAGTAAACGCTCTATACTACTAAATACTCTAAAAATACTAAGCTCTTACTAAATACTACTATCTCGATTATAAAGCTCTCTATAAACGTCTAATTAACTTTAGATAAATTCTAGATATAGCTTACGCTTTAGACTATTTAGTAAAACTTAGAGCTAAGCTTATAACGCGCTGTAGCTCTCTATAACGTACTATAGAAGAAAGTCTACTATTAATATAATAGAGTAACTTAAAGATATAAAAAGATACCTAATTTAACAAAGCTTACTATAAATAAAGAGTAGGTAATAATTAACTATATACTTAACCTAGACGCGTAAGAATTTACTCTCTAGCTTACTACTATTTAAGATATAGCTAATTAGCTACTTACTAAGTAGAGAAGAAAGGTTATAGGTAAGAACTAGCTAAACCGCTTTATTACGCGCTATCTAGAGCTTAAAATACG